TTGGTGAAATGCCTGTTAAGAGGGAAGTGTTAAGTAAATGATGGCCCACCCATGCAATGGAATAGCCTGCAGCTGTAGAAAAGAGCGAGGGACTTTTATATGCACTGACATGGAAAGATCTCCAAGATGTATTGTTAAGTAAAATCTAGTATTTATACTATGTCTCCTTTGTGAGATAAAAGGAGGAAAATAATGTGCATTCATATTTTCTTGTATCTGAATAAAGAGCCTCTGCAAGGTTCTTAAGCATACTGTGTGTTGGGGTGGGGGAAATTGGGTAGGTGGGGTTTGTGTAGAAAGGAGACTTTATACTGTTTCTTTTTAAAATTAGACTTATTGGGGTAACATTGGTTATTAACATTATCTATAAATTTCAGGTGTGCAACTTTTAATTTGACATCTGTGTATTTGTGTGCTCAGTACCCAATGTCTAGTCTCCTTCCGTCACCATATATTTGACCCCCTTTGCCCTCTTCATCCTCAACCCACCCTCTTTCCCGCTGGTAACCACCATTCTGTTGTCTGTATCTATGAGTTTGGTTTTTTCTTTTTTGTTTGTATATTTGTTTTGTTTTTTCGTCTATTGCTTTCTATTTTATATCCCACATACGAGTGAAATCATATGGTTCTTGTCCTTTTCCGTCTGCATTATTTCGCTTAGCATAATACTCTCAAGATCCAGTCATGTTGTCACAAAAGGCAACATTTCATCTTTCTTTCATGGCTGAGTAGTATTCAATTTTATATATGTGCCACGTCTTCTTTATCCAGTCACCCATCAAAGGTCCCTTGGGCTGTTTCCATGTCTTGGCTGTCGTGAATAATGCTGCAGTGAACATAGAGGTGCATGTATCTTTACAAAGAAGTGTTTTCAATTTTGGGGGATAGCTACCCAGAAGAGGGATTGCTGCGTTATATGATAGCTCTATTCTTAAGTTTCTGAGGAACCTCCATACTGTTTTCCACAGTGGCTGCACCAATTTTCATTCCCACTAGCCGTGTGCGAGGGTTCCCTTTTCTCCACATCCTCGCCAGCACTTGTTATTTTTTTGTCTTATCGATAACCGTCATTCTAACAGGTGTGAGGACTATCTCATTGTGGTTTTGATTTGCATTTCCCTTATGACTAGTGATGTTGAGCACCTTTTCATATAACTGTTGGTCATCTGTATGTCTTCCTTTGGAACTTTTTTTTTTTAATATGACCTGATCTACCTAATGAAACAAAGGTAGGACGGCGAGACTCCCCGTCCCACCCTACACCATTCTGTGTCTCCCCTCCAGGCTCCATGTGGCGCTCTCCTTGTTAGCATTTCTGCTCCTTCTGTTGGGAGGCACCTTACTGCTGGCTTGGAAAATGGCTCGGAGACGGATCAAAGGTGAGTTTGATCAGGGTACGCAGGCCCTGACCATACCCTCTTGTCTTCAAGGTTCTACATCCTTGTTCCCAGAACGGGCATCGAATGTATGCCCTCAGACTGCATACCCTGGGTGACCCTAGAGGGCAGACCCTAAGCAGGTGACCCTGGTATGGTGGAGACAGGCTGTGGGAGGTGGCTCCCCAGATGGAGACCTTTCCCATGAAGCACTGTCCCTCTTCTGTTTAAAACCCTCCCATGACCTCCCACATCCTCCAAAGTCCAGGCCCCTCCAGGACAGTCACTGTCCTCCATAGTCTGGCCCTGCCCACTCCTCCACCCTCCTCACACCCTGAAAGGCAGCTGTTCCTAAGTTCTTGACACCTGCCAAGAGTCATGACCTCAGTCTCGCCTTTTGGGTTTTTTCTGGGCACCACGAGTGCCTTCCCTGCCCTCTTTGTCTGCCTCACTCCTGGTGGGCCCTAAGGGCTGCCTTCAGAACTCCTTTCCTCTGGGACCCTTTCCTGGTCCCCAAAGAGTAGGGGGGCCCCTCTTGGGTGTACCTCTGTACCTCTATCATCCTATCCCTTTTTACACCAGCTCGTCACCGCCTGCTTCCTTGCCAGCCTCCCACCAGCCCATGCAACTCCTTAAGATCAGGGACCATAAACTTGAGAAGGCATCCAATCAGTGTTTGTTGAATTAATGCATTATTTAATATCTCCATCTGCAATGGGCACCCCAGGAAGTTTCAGGCATCCTGCGGTCCAGTGCTCTGCTCTGAGCTCAGATTAAGAAAGAGAACATGTGTGGTGTACCCAGCACCCAGTCTGGCACTCAGGAAGTAGGTACTCAATATACACTTGATGAGTGAATTAAATAAACAGAAGGACAGAAAAGAACAGATGATGTTGCCCGCTTCTTGTTGCTGCCCGGAGGCCAACAGTCACCTGTAGGAGCGCAGATTTCTGCCCGAGATGGAGTGTGAGCCCGCCATGTCCCTCCTGTGCTGAGAGTTCTTGATTCCACGAGCAGAGGGTTCTCTGGGGCATCTTTGTCCAGACTTGTAAAGGCTGCGTTGAGATTAGGGTGAGCGGGGAGGGGATAACTCTCCCCACAGCTGCATGCTACTTGGGAGCTGGTATATGCTGGGGGCAGGGGCGGGGTGGGGGTGTGTGTGCGGGTGACCACTGCCTACGCTCTCACCTCCAGTCCTTTCACTCCTCCATGGGGCCCAGCCTGTCCCCCTACCAGGGCTCGGGCCTTTAGGAGAGGAATTTGTGTCAGCACATCTGTGCGTGGTTAAGCGGAGGAAACCACTTCCTCTTCTCCGTTTCCTGCTTCCCATCATTGTCGACTTCAGCCAACGCATGGGCGCTGCCTACTGCATGGGGATTTTCCCAGCCTGTATTGCTTCAAATCTGTGGGTCCCAGTGATTCCCCAGTGCCCTTTCACCTAGAAAGTCCCCCCCTTTAAAAAAAAAAGGGTAGTGTGATTATTATAGAAAATTCAAAAGTAAGTAAAAGCACAAAGGAGGAGGAAATAAATCCCCCGTAACAAATAAAAACTAAAACTCCCACCAGCCAGAAAACCAGCCACTGACGCGTGAGGTATGTCTTTCCAGCCGTTTTCGGTGCCGTTTATGCACATAGGATTTCTTAAAATGTTTGCTTCGTACCTTTGTTCCTCTCTTAAACCCATTTTTCTTGCCCTTCACACATTGCATCGTTTTCCCTGCTGTTAAAGGTTCTTCTGAAAATCCCTGACTTGCAGAGTTCATAGGCGTGTGGGTGGCTTACACCTTTTACGTGATCCTCTGAGGAGATAGGCTTTCTATTCAAAGATCCTAACTCTCCCTCCCCTGCTTTGCACGTCTCAGTTCCTCTCCCCGGATCACATCTGGGCTGTCTTCCCGTTGTCTCCCCACCCCACTCACCACACCCACTCACAGCTCTCCCCCTCAACCGTTCTTTTCATGCATTCATTCATTCATTCATTCATTCATTCATTCATTCATGCACTCACTCACTCACTCACTCACACAGCAAAGCTGTCCTGAGCACCACCGTGCGCCAGGCCCTGTGCTGGGTGCTGCCGGGGCCACTGGGGGCCACTGTCTTTACCAGGGCGGACTGGACCACCATCCGATGGCTACGGCCTAACTGTCTCAATGCCGCCTTCCCACCCCAGCGAAGTGCGCCCATCTCTTCCCCACCTGCCCTTTCCGCCCTCCCCATCAGAGCACCTGTCCCAGCCGAGGGGAGGGTGGTGTGGAGCCTGCACGCAGTACTTGGAACAGAATCAGAGCCCCGGTTGCACGTTTCTTAAGTCAATTGAGCGCGCTCAGCAAACGCTTCTGTCGTACATGGCCTTGTGTCTCTGGCTGTAGGTATCTCACCTTTGACTTTGAGGGTCCCTGAGGGGTGGACAGTGCCACTCCCTGTGGCGTCTAGCGCAGCGAGCTCTGGGTGTTCTAGCTGGGCGTCCATGCCCACCAGCTCCTGGGGTCCGGGTGGGAAGAGCCAGGGTGCACAGGGCTGTGCTCTGAGGCAGGAGCCGCGCTGCAGGTGACAGAAGTGAAAGGCCGCGTGCCCTGAGCTGTGACCCCTCTGAGCTTCTGGGCCTTCTGTGTGTAAGGGACCGGCCCCCAGGCCAGGGGGACGGAGCAGACGAGCCCTGTGACTTTTTATGGTTTGGTGCAGGTCTAGGTCTTTACAAGGACAGCTTATTTTAGTTTATTTCATTTTTCAATGTTTTAGGGCTTGTTAAAACACAGATTGCTGAACCCCATCTCCAGCGTTTCTGAGTCAGTATGTCTGGGGCAGGGCCCATGGAGCTGGGGATTTTTTGTTGTTTTGTTTTTTTATTGTGGTAAAAAGCACATGACGTAACATTTGCCATCCTAACCACTTTTAAGTTTACAGAGCGGTAGTGTTAAATATATTCACGTTCTTGTGAAAGACATCTCCTGAACTTTTTCATCTTGCCAACGGGTCGCCTTCAATGGGCATCCTTCCTTTCCCCTGTCCTCTCCCACCTGGGGACATTCTCTATGAGGGGCTGCTTTGTTTGCCACCCTCCCCATGCTGGAGCCGGCCTGTTAGTTCGTTCATTCCCTTATTCATTTACTCACTTAGTCATTCATTCATTCACTCATTTCCTCATTCACTAATTCACCCACTCAACAAACCCTTGAGTGCCAGCCGTGCTGCAAACCTGAAGCGGGAGGCCCCCAGGGCTGACGTGTCTAGGGAAAGGCCTTTCTCCAGGCGGATCATAGGGAGCCCCATCCCTGCCTTGTTCTGGGGTTCAACCTCCTCACTCTCCCCCCACTCCTGTCTCTCTAGCTGGTGAGAATCTGGAGCCACTGCAGAACCCCGGCCAGGTAAGAAAGGCTACCAGGAGGAGTGTCGGTGACTGCGTGGGGGCACAAAGGTGCTGGGGGTTGGGCTGTCCCATTGGCTAGCGGAGGTCTGGGTGGGTTGTTGATGGATGGAGCGGGGTGCTCGCTTGGGAGATCTGGTCACTGGGTCTTGTCTCCAGCTTTGGCCAGTCTGTCCCCTCCCCTCAGGGAAAGCGAATGAGGCAGGGTCCTCCCAGCGCAGCTGTGGGCCTGAGTAATGTTCCAGAGTGGGGAGCGGGGAGGCAGGGGGGGCAGGCTGGGGCTGGGGCACCCAGAGCATAGAGGGAAGGGGAGATGTCTGTAGAGAAGCAGGACCGAGGCTCCTCTAGGCTCGGCCACCAAGCCTACCCCTGCCCTCCTGCCCACCCCAGGCTGCCCAGCAGAGTGAGCTCTGCTATGCCCACCTGGAACTGCCGACATGGCCCCTTCACGAAGAGCCTGTGCGACCGAGGCAGGTGGAGGTGGAATACAGCACAGTGGTGAGTTCCGGGGCCCGGCTTCCAGCATGGGGACCCTGGGCTGTGTGTGCCAGAGGCATCACTTTGGGGTGTGGCAGCAGGCAGAGAGGGGAATGAGGGACCAGCTTGGTGGTCTTGTGTCTCCAGGACAGAGCCACACAGGTAATGGGGCAGGTGTAAATTTTGGCAGAGCTTGGTGTCATTGTGGCTGGGGGGTAGGGTGGGAGATAGAGGGGCTATTGGAATGGCCAGTGGATATAGCCCTGATAGCCAATAAAGTACAGCTTTTCTTAAGCACCTACTATGTACCACAGACCCACTATTAAAGCCTGTGATTTCTTACTGTTTTGGTTCCAACATTTCTTTGGTATCAACTCTGCTTTTCAGGTTTTTATCAATGATCTGTTGCAGGTCAACCCTTAGGTAGAGCCACGGTAATGTGGAATAATGGAAGAGGCTGTCCCTCAGGGTGTCACTAAGGGCTGTCACCCAGCCCTTAGTGGAAGAGTTCAGACAGAGGCTGGGGGTCCACTGGGTGGAGAAGCCGGGGGAGAGATTAAGGCATCAGACATGTGGCCCTGGGACTAGCAACAGGGCCTTGTTTTTCTGACTTGGGGGCTGATGACCTCAAAGTGGATCTCAGGGGCCCTCTGCTCTGATGCCTGGGACCTTGTGCTGTGGCTTGACCAGGCGGGGTGGTGCAGGTGGGTGGACAGGATCTCAGAGCCCAGTCCTTGCGGGAGAAAGAGGCCAGGACAGTGGGGAAGGCTGGGCACTCCCCGTGGAGCCTCCCCAGGGTCCCCTCAGGTGTCCCCCCTCCTAAGCTGGGGGTCCATGCTTCTGCCACCTCTCCCTGAGTCTTGGGTCTCTCTCTCTCTCTCTGCAGGGGCCCTGCATGGATGAACCTTACTACACTTCGGTGCTATTCCACCCCCAGAGTCAGGATTCCAAGGACAAGTCTCCCGCCCGGAGGCCCCGGCTGCCGGAATCACAGTACACTGTGATTAGGAGATAAGCCTGCATCTCTGGCCTCACCACCTGGTGGTCTCTGTGGACCCCGGAAGCCCAGGGCCGACCCCCTCACCCTCACTCACGTGCTCCTCCGCCTGCCTCTGCTCAGTGGTGACTGACATCAGCCCATGTGGCTTCGCTGAGGACGAGGGGGTCTGGTGGGACCTGCAGGAAACACTGCCATCCTTCTGACTCTCGTCCTCTCTTTCTTCTTTTTCTCTACTTCCTACCAGCTCTGTGTGTGGAGGACGGGGGCTCAGTCCCCTGTGACTCCAGGAATTGGTGTGGCTCACATAGGATGTTACCTCCGAATAGCTTTGTAAATCATGCCCCATGAAAGTGTCTGGGTTTGCTGGGGAGTGGGACACCTGGCAGAGAGCCAGGAGAACACAAAGTCACTGACATTGGGTCCCCTCGTCTCACAGACGAGGAGACTGAGGCTAGAGAGAGGCATGGCTTGCCTGGGGCTCCGGAACCAGCAGTGGGCAGGGTCCTCGGTTCCTCTGGACTCTTAGATGAGGTTTATTTTTAATATGAGACATCAATAAAGTGTAAAATAGCTTAAGAGAGAAGAGAATTATTTAAACAATGCCTGCTAGGTGTCTGCAATCCTGTATTAAAGAAAGCTCCTGGCTTTGATCTCAGATGAGCACAGAGAAGCTTGGAGGATCCAAGGGGTTGGGGACATCCTGAGAGACGCCTTCTTTTAGTGGGAGAGGGACAGTCACAACTGATTCTCTCCATGCCGGAAAATGCAGCAGGGGGATTTCAAGCTTGCTGCAGGCAACCCGGGGCTCTCAGAACCTCACCTGCCACACCTCTCTCGGCTGGGCCAAGTCTCCGGGGTTTTCTTTCAACTCTCAACAAAGTATTGGCCCATTTAAAGTAAATAATAGGGAAAAGCAAGGGAAGTATTTCACTTAAGTGAAAGCTTTTTGTTTTTTAACCACTGACATTACAATCAAATTGTGCCTTTTGAGCAGTTTTCTCTGAGATGTGGGCCCATAGTTTTCAGAAGGTTCTTCAAGGGGTAAGTAGACCCCCAAAGGATGGAGAGACACCTCTCTGGTTGGTGTCTTCTTTAGATTTTTCATTATTTTTGCATGTGTGAGTCACCATCAATACTTCCTCTCTCCTTTTACTACTGTTCTGAGATACCAAAGGGGAAATACACACACACACACACACACACACACACACACACACACACATGCACAGACACACACAGAGAGAGAGAGAGAGAGAGAGAGAGAGAGACATATGCACAGACACGCACAGAACGGGATTCTCTTGGATTATCCACGTGGGCCCAATGAGATCACCAGGGGCTTTATAGGAGGAAGCGAGGGGTCAGAGTTAGACAATGTGATGAGAAAAGCAGGAGAGAGAGAGAGAGAGAGAGAGAGAGAGAGAGAGAGAGAGAGAGAGAG